ACTAGCACGAGATACATTACATACATAAACAAAGAGACATATCAAGAACCCCTTAAGATTAAGAATGTTGTATGTCTAGAACATTGTACAGAAATGCAATGATGGGCACTATCTATGGCCATAAACACTACACTACTACCTCAACAAATCAGCCATTTTGACATCATGGTAGTCACCTACAGATATCACACATTTATACTCGTATATTTTCCAACAAAATTAAACTATCTAGTTTTCAGTCTATGAGATTAGTAAAAGCATATGGATAACAAAATTGGATCGGCTCTAGCTTAAACTTACAAAGTATACCAATATTCAACTAAGAAAACAGGAATAGAATCCCAAAGAAACCTGTTTATGGCTGAGAGCTAGACTGAACAAAACACAAGTGAGAACCTCGCTCTCATAGAGTACTGCAGCAATAGCACCAACTGTAAGTCCCAAGCTGATGCAATTGTACTAAAACAAGAAAAACAAACCACATTCAAATGAGAATCATCAAAACAACCAGAGAAAAACAGTAGACGATCGCAAAACCAATAGAGAGAATGGTCAAAACAAACCTGAAAATGACCATGATCAATAAGGATTAAACAAGGGTTTAAGAGAATGATAGCAATATGCCATGCCACTTCCCTCTTGGCACTCTTAGCTCGAGTTTTATGGTACACTAACACGAAAAAGAGAGCAGCCGGGAAGAATATGAGAACATCAGACGATAGAACTGTCCATCTCATCAGTAATTTGCTGCATAACAAAACCAATATGACTCCAATTAGTTAAACCTAAGTACACAATAATCAACAAATTGAAGGAAAAATTTGTAAACACATCGCAAGATTCAACATTTGATCAGATCTTAAGATGCTTACCCAAGATAAGACTCATGACCATGAGAACTGAGAAGAGCAGTGGACTCAGGATTGAAGATTCGGAGGAAAACTCCATGGATGTAACTCTGGTAAGCAGTTAAAGGAGGATAATCGAGTCCCCAGTAACTAAGATCATTGTAAGTGCCATTTCTATACCAATCGATAGTCGGAAGATTTGTGGTTATCTCCATCCAATGTCTCTGAGCTTCGAAATCGCCGAATTTAGGTGGAGTTCCGGCGCCGGAGTACGGGAACATCGATACAGCAGATCGGATCAATAATGCGAAGAGGGAGATACAGACGAAAGTACTTGTGGTTCCGTTATGTACTAGCCACGACCATGTATCCATCGAAGCTCCGGTTTGCTTCGACAACGGAGCGGCGATGTCTTCGCCGGGATGTTTCGCCGGCTTCTTCTTCGGCATCTTTGTTTTCTTGGTCTTAGCTTTACGATTTTAGTTTAATCAAACCATTTCGGGCTAAACCAAAATAAATGATTTTTGGACTTTAATAGACCAAAAATTGTTGGGCCAAATTATTGAGCCCGATATTATATTGAACAGAAGGAAAACCAAGCAAAGA